AATTTTTTTTTTTTTTTTTTTTTTTTGAAGTATCAAAGTGTGGCTTATTAATTACAGATTAAGATCAGTTACTAAGTTAGGACAAAGATATGGACGCTTCTCAAAAGATTAAGCAAGTAGGATGCTACTCTTGAAGACAACTAAATATGCAGTCAAGAAAAATACAATAATACAGTATCCGATGAAACCGAGCCAAAAGGTCAATTTATTAATCGTTTAAACTCCCTCTATGTCATCTTACTTATTAATTTCCATTCCAGCTGTACCCTACTGAGTCAAGAAGTAAATAATGAAGATTAATAGTTTTTTTGGCCAAGCTTCTAAAATCTGCTTATTTTGAGAAGTGTTTTTTTCAAAAGTGTTTTTAAAAAAGTATTTTTGGCGAGAATCGGTATGTGTTTGGCTAAATAATTTGAAAAACACTTTTGAGCACTAACTAGTATTTGGCCAAACTTTTGAAAACTGCTTCTTAGTATATTTTTCTCAAAAGTACTTCTCAAAAAAGTGCTTTTTGAAGAGAAGCTATATTTTTCTGCTTCTGTTTCTCATCAAAAATACTTTTTTTTTCTTCTTATAAAAGCTTGGCCAAACACCTCAATTTTTGGCCTAAAACACTTTTGACAAAAAAAAAAAAAAAAGAGCACTTTTGGCCTCAAAAAAACTTGGCCCAACAGGCTATAACAGTAGTAAAACCTCATAAGGAGGAAGTAGATGTCAATCCAATAATGTTAGCGAAATCCTGGAGTACTGCAAGTGATATAGGACAAAATATCCAGCCTGTTACTCTTTCTAGCTGCAGGCTGATGAATTGATAGATTGGCCTTCTCTCTTTTTACATAAGACGTATTTCACGTTAGGCCAAGGGAGCTTAAAATGAATGTGGATGTTTTTCAAGGAAGATACAAACTATTTCACTCAACTAGTACCTATCTATACACTAGGGATGTCAATAGTTCGGTTCGACCGGTTATTTTATAAAATTTATACCGTATCAATTTTTCAGTTATTCTATTATGTATAATCAAAATTAGACTTTTCGAAACCGTCCCAATTATGTCGGTTGCTCGGTTAGATTAGTTTTTGGTATTTTTTTTAATGTCATGTAAAAGTCACTAGTAGAAGTATATGTACTTTCATTAGTTTTATAGAACTAAGCAAAATTCTTGACATTTTTACTGTTTAAGGGGTGATAAATTAAAAAAAATCTGAAAGATGGCCAGAATAGATCCGTCAATTATTCTACATCAGCGTCAAAAAAACTAAGCAAATACAAAAAAAATATAAATCACACGAGTGGAAAGATATTAAACAAATTGGGACTCAAGAATAAAATCTATAGAAGATTAAATATTCAAAAAGATAATACTAAATCATACGAAATAAAACATATTCAATATATTGTAGTTTGCTACTCATAATCGCTAGAATACTTTGTATCTTGCTAGTGAATATGCTGGAAATAATTTAGTTTCAATAGGAATAGCATAATAGTTTTGAGAACTAGGATTTTGAGTTTAATTACTTGTGGCTTGTAACTGTTTTTATAATTTCAACGGCCAAGAAAAAATTTAATGCTTTGTTATTTTTATACTTAATACAAAAAAATATTTTTCACATGTAAATTTATTCGATACGATTATAGATTTATATAAAAACCTACGATTTTATTAAAATAAACCTAAAAATCAGTACGGTACGGTTGAGTCGGTTTAGTCGATTTTTTAAATATCCATTGACACCCCCTACATACATCACATCCCCAATTTTCCATTGGCTCCATCTTTATCATTGACAGGACCATATGGCATAAAACAAAAAATAACGAATTTAGCAGAACTTCTTGGTTAGACAGCAGCCACTAGGTTCCATTGTCAACCTTATCAATAACAATAATTAAAGATATGGGACTCCATCCATCAAGAAAATGAACCTATAAACAGCAGTTTGATGGATATCCTCCCATATGAGCTAGTAATTAGTAACATTCTATAGCAGTTTAACGAGTTCTAAAGGAATACAACAGTACTGGACTCTGTTGGTGAAATGGAAGACGAGATTCAAACAAGAAGTTACTGGAGATGGACCAAACAAGACTTTTTTCCAGAAGACTCTTTCCAGAATTGGAGCACATACCGATCAGCACTATCACAAACATTTTCCAGATTCAAGGACCGAGTTGCAAGCCGTTCTGAGGATGCTGATGAGATTGGGGAGATAAGGAAACAAAGTGAGAATGAGATGAAACGTTGCCTTAGTTGGTGGGACCTCACCTGGTTTGGCTTTGGCTCGGTTATTGGAGCAGGCATCTTTGTACTCACTGGCCAAGAAGCTCACAAGCATGCCGGACCAGCTATAATATTATCCTATGTGGCTTCTGGCATTTCAGCGATGCTCTCTGTATTCTGCTATACAGAATTTGCGGTAGAAATTCCTGTAGCAGGAGGGTCATTTGCGTACATCAGAGTAGAACTAGGAGATTTTGCGGCCTTTATCACAGCAGGAAACATAATTCTTGGATCCATTGCTGGAGGTGCAGCAGTAGCAAGAGCCTGGACTTCTTACTTTACAACACTCCTGAACCTTCATCCAAACTCTTTACGCATACATACAAACCTCGCCAGACGGGTTCAACTTATTAGATCCAATAGCTGTTGCAGTTCTAGTAATTACATCAATAATTGCAATAAGCAGCACTAGAAGAACTTCATATTTCAACTGGATAGCATCCGCAGTAAATATGATGGTGATTTTATTTGTCATAGTTGCTGGATTTGCTCATGCCAATAGCTCAAACTTGACACCCTTTATGCCACATGGTGCCAAAGGTATTTTTGTTGCAGCAGCAATTGTGTATTTTGCATATGGGGGTTTTGACAACATTGCAACCATGGCAGAGGAAACAAAAAATCCATCAAAAGACATACCACTAGGATTGCTAGGGTCAATGTCAATTATCACCGTGATATATTGCTTGATGGCACTTTCACTGAGTATGATGCAGAAGTATACTGATATAGACCCTAATGCCGCTTACTCTGTTGCATTTCAAAGCGTGGGAATGAAATGGGCAAAATATCTGGTAGCCCTTGGAGCTCTTAAGGGAATGACCACTGTCCTTTTGGTAGGAGCGATTGGGCACGCACGCTACACCACTCACATCGCACGAGTTCACATGATTCCACCATGGTTTGCACTTGTTCACCCAAAGACAGGAACTCCCATAAATGCAACTCTATTGATCAGACTTGCAAGTGCCTGTATAGCCTTCTTTTCAAGTTTGGATGTCTTGACAAGTTTGTTATCCGTAAGCAGCCTTCTTATATCGATGATGATGGCTGTTGCTCTGCTTGTGAGGAGATATTATGTCAGAGGTATCACCCCCCGAACGAATTTTTTGAAGCTAACCTTTTTTTTACAGGTCATAATTCTATCTTCCATAGGGACTTCTGCTTACTGGGGACTGAACCCTAATGGTTGGCTTGGCTACACAATAACTGTTCCCCTTTGGTTCCTGGCAACTTTGGCAATATCAGTTCTTTTGCCACAGGAAAGAACACCAAAAGTTTGGGGAGTCCCACTGGTTCCATGGTTCCCATCCCTCTCAATTGCAATAAACTTGTTTCTCATGGGATCATTAGGAGCTCAGGCATTTATAAGGTTTGGCATATGTACGGCTGTAATGCTGATGTATTATATTCTTTTTGGCCTCCATGCAACTTATGACATGGCTCGTCAACCAAAGAAGGTAATGTCGTCAAAGATCTCGGAAGAAGACGTGGAAAAAGCCAGATCATAAGTTTTTTTACACCTACCAAGAAATTTGGACTTGAGTCCCCATCGCACTTATTCCTGAAATCATAAGATTTATGTTAGATGAAGTCATTTGCTGTAGAAATAGCAACACACAATTCTACCATTATGAATAATGAGAACTGTCAACTACAGCTCATGTTAGACGTACATTCTCAAGAATCTCAACTACAGTCAAGTCCATAATAGAGAAAAAGTATAGATGCTACGTTACAGGAGGGAAAACATGTAAAGTAAGAAGATAAACATCAGCAGATAGGAAAAACATTCTAAATCAAGATTAAAGATAGGTTAAAAAATTGAAAACTTACTTCAAGGAGCTAGTAGTGTTTGTATCATTTTCATATTTTCTTGAACTTTTCTAAAACCCGAGCAATGCTTCTCAGAAGCTTCGGTACCAACTTCCATGCCACATATCCGAGTGCCACTTGACAAAATATGTCCCCCAAAAGTTACAATTTCTGCATAATGATCATTCATAAAAGCACCAAAATAAGTTGGATCCATATCATCCCAATGAAAATCATGTAGCTTCATGTCCATAAAAAAAGAGTGTATTTGATGGATAAATGAACCTAGAAAATGGTAACAAGCTTAAGAATTCAAAAACTGAGAAACATCTGAATTTTGAAAACTTTCAAATGAATATTACTAGACTAAAACAGTAATATCACTCGCTGCAACCACCGAAATTTTGTCATCTTCTACTGTTTTTTCATGCTTCAACCTCTTGCACATCATGAAAGCATCATGTGATGACCCTGTGGAGTTCTCACTACCATTGTCAACTTGAGTTTCAAGCTTCTCATATGCAACCACCACTCACAATATCTCTTTCACCCACCATTGTGATCCCAAGTTAGTTGCGAAAAATAATAATTCTAATAGCTGTACCACAAGAAAATTAAATCAACATATGAAAGATGCACCAGCAGATACGTTAGTTCCTTTACCAATCAAAAGAACGGCAGATATTAGTATGTACAGTCACCTACTAACTTAAACAACTCAAAAAATCAGAAAAATTGCAAATCTGGCTTCTAAGGTTAGTGGNGGGGGGGGGCTACTATTACATGAACAAAGAAATAAACAACTAGTAAATGCAAATCACACAGAAGCGCAGTATATATGAAGAGAAATTTACTTCACGTGAGTACAGAGAGCACTTTTAGCTTGAGATGGAATGGTTGAGAGAGCAATGCCAGAGGAAATCGCGCAGAAGAGAGACTTGCAGGACGGTAGTACAATATTATAAATTCAACTAATTAATACCTAGTAGCTTCAGCTCAGTAGTAGTCACACTGTAACAACTATTCTTTGTTTGACGACTTCTATCTGATTGTCTTTTGTCCTTAAGATAAATGAAGTCTAGGTTATACAGAACGTAGAGACTTTCTATCTAATTGTTCTTTTGTAGCACCATTTCTAGAGGAACTTTGAGCATTTTAAAATTAATAAAATGCTGGTTTTAACATCAAAACTCTTCGTCTCTCTTGCAATTCCAAATAAGAACTTGTCTACAATAAGCACCATCCTCTATATAAAATGAATGCTTTCAGAAAAGCACACACATTTTTTTATCGGTAGAAAGCGCACACACTCAAATATCCTTTTTTAATGTCTTAAAGCAGCGTACTTCTGCTATCATTATCGGTTATGTACAAATATTACAGCTTATTTTAAGTCCAAAAAAAAAAAGTTGTTCCAAGAAAAGAAACTGCATTGATTTTTTATGCTGAATTCTTTTCCTGAAAAACTCTAAAGATTTGGCACCAGCATGTACACTGGAAATTGATAACCCCGGCTATTGCCACTGTCTCTTACCACAGGGAATATCATATCAAGAAGAAATAAGCAAACAAAAATTTGAACTTATTTTCATAAGCCATATACAGCAACTTTGTTAGCATTTTAAAGCCAGGTCATAAATTTCTTTACACCTACCAAGGAATCTTGGACTTGAGTCCCCATTGCACCTGCAATCATAAGATTTATGTTAGATGAAGTCATTTGCTGAAGAAATAGCACCAGACAAAATCGTACCATTATGAATAATGAAAACTGTCAACTACAGCTCATTTTAGAGAAAAACATTTCAAGAATTTCAATTACAGTCAAGTCCACAAATAGAGAAAAAAGGATAGATGCTACAGGAGGGAAACCATGTAAGGTAAGAAGATAAACGTCAGCACATAGGAAGCACATTCTAAATCAAGAGTAAAGATAGGTTTAAAGATTGAAAACTCACTTCAAGGAACTAGTAGTGCCAGTATCGTTTTCATATTTTCGTGAAACTTTCTAAAACACAAGCTATGCTTCTCAGGATACCAACTTTCATGCCACATATCCGAGTGCCACTTGACAAAATATGGCCCCCCGCCCCTCCAAAAGTCACAATTTCTGCATAATAATCATTCATAATAAATAAGTTAGATCCATATCATTCCAATGAAAATCATGTAGCTTCACATCCATAAAAAAGTATATTTGATGGATAAATGAACCTAGAAAATGGAAACAAGCATAAGAATTCAAAAACTCAGAAACATCGGAATTTTGAAAACTTTCAAATGAATATTACCAGACTAAAACAGTAATCTCACTGGCTGCAACCACCAAAATTTTGTCATCTTCTACTGCTTTTTCATGCTTCAACCTCTTGCACGGCATGAAAGCATCATGTGATGACCCTGTGGATTTTGTTACTACCATTTTCTACTTGAGTTGCAAGCTTCTCATATGCAACCACCGCGCTCACAATCTCTCTTTCATCCACCATTGTGATCTCAAGTTAGCTGCAAAAAATAATAACTCTAATAGCTCTACCACAAGAAAATTAAATTAACATATGCACGACCATCAGATACATTTAGTTCCTTTACCAATCAAAAGAACGACAGATATTAGTATGTACATTCCCCTAATAACTTAAACGACTCAAATAATCAGAAAAAATTGCAAATCTGGCTTCCAAAGTAACAAAGAAATAAACCACTAGTAAATGCAAATCACACTGAAGCACAGCATATAGGAAGATAAATTTACTTCACATGAGCACAGAAAGCATTTTTACTTTGAAGTGGAACGGTTGAGAGAAAAGTTCAGAGGAAAACATGCAGAAGAAAGACTTGCCGCCCCGGTAATACTGTTTTATGGATCCACAAATTAGTACCTAGTAGCTTCAGCTCAGTGGTAGTCACTCTGTAACGACTATATTTGTTTTGTGATTTCGTTCCTATTATCTTTTTTTTCTTAAGATAAATGTTTTGATGATGTATAGGGATGAAGCCCAGGTTATACAAAACGTAGAGATTTTCTATCTAATTGTTCTTTTGTAGCACCATTTCTAGAGGAACTTTGATAATTTTAAAATTATTAACAAGCTGGTTTTAACATCAAAACTGTTCGTCTCTCTTCTACTTCCAAATAAGAACTTATCTACAATTAGCACCAATCTCTATATAAAAGGAATGCTTTCAGAGAAAGCACATACATTTCTGTTATCGGTAGAAAGCATACACTCTCATATCCATTTTTTTAAATATCTAAGTAAGGCTCTTCTGCTATTATTATCAGTTACGTGCAAATATCTACAGCTTATTTTAGGTCCAAAATAAAGTTGTTCCAAGAAACAACCACATAAATTTTTCATGCTGACATCTTTCCAGAAAAGCTCCAAAGATTTGGCAACAGCATGTACACTGGAAAATGAAAACCCCTGCTATTGCCACTGTCTCTTACCACAGGGAATATTATATCAAGAAGAAATAAGCAAACAAAAATTTGAACTTCTTTTTATGAAGGTAAACAAAAATTTGAACTTATTTCATAAGCCATACACAACTTTGTTAGCATTTTTAAACTCTCATAATTTAACATTACATTAAACTTGAAAATAACTTCTACGAATCTGAATTAGGATTTAAACAACTATCTGGATACAAATTGAAACAAAGAGTAAGTAAGAGGTAAGTAAGAAATGTGAACAACTATAAAAAGAATAACCTAAAATGAACTCTTTTTAGACCCACCAAAACCATTTCTAAATGATCATGCATGACCAGATGTATAAAAGTATCATCAATAATCAAAACTGACGTGTAACAAATTTGTAGATTACAACTTTTAGATTTCAAGTATAGCATATGGTAAGAAACTGAAGAACAAAATATTCAATGATATTTTTGCTTTCTTTTAGTATCCTAACAACTTATCTGTACCTAGATTATCATAATTGCAAGGTTTCTGTATCATTTAATAGCTTTGTCGAAATAATCGATAAAATATGTCATTTTCAGTTACTTACATGTTCAACAGACATGCATTTAAACAAACAGAATGTCAAATTATGGATGCAAGTGTCTGTTTGGAAATAAGCAGTTATCCTCATTGTATAATTTCTAGATGCCACATATCAGGCACAATGACCCAAATTCTGAAATACACAGAATGGATCTTCTGAAGAATCGCACGTCTGTGTCCTCTTTTGTCCCCTAGGAGCAATGTGCCCATGGGAAACAAAGTTTCAGGATATTGCATTTTTGCAACCAAAAAAGAAAATTTTAATCTAACCTCTAATATCATAGGAAAAGATCACTCCAACACTTATTAATAGCTCCTTGAACCTTCTTTGGTTTGCAGAGTTCTCGAATAATCAGTTCCCAAGTAGAGGACTTGGGATAAAGAAATTTTTGAAGCATCACTTCTATAATTCTTGAAGCTCCTACAATTCTCTGTCGCCTGTACAGTTTCAGCACCAGCTTATCCAGGAAGTCTTCCACGTCTCGGGATACATTTTCTTTTTCATTTAAAGTTTTCAAGAAAATATTACATGTAACTGCGTCGGGATCACAACCTTGATCCAACATAGTATTCAAAAGATCAATTGCTAGAGAAACTCTATCCACCTTGCATAAAGCATTAAGAATTATGTTATATGCTATTACATCAGGCTGAGACTCAGATCCTCTACATAGCATCTCATTGAAAAGTCTCAATCCCTGATCCACAGACCCAGCATTGCAAAGGCCGTGAATCATTGAACTATAAGCCACGGCATCAGGGACCAATCCTTTTCCTAACATTTGCTTCCACATCATCATAGCCTCTTTGAGCTTCCCGTCTTGACACAATCCGTGGATGAGTACACTGTAGCATATTTCATTACATGTGATACCACTGGTCGCCATTTCTTTCCATACAAATATAGCCTTGTTGCTGTCACCGGTTTTAAAGTACCCTTTCATCAGAGAGCAGTAAGTGTAAGCATTAGGAATGCAATCCATTTTAATCATCTCAGAAAGGATCTCCTTAGCTTCGTCAGGTCTGCCTTCTTGACACAAGCCATCTATAAAAGCAGAATAAACAACTGTATTAGGCTTCACTCCCTTTTCTATCATTTCCGTCCATATTTTTAGCGCCTCTTCAGGTTTTCCCTCTTTAAACAACCCACTAACTAGCGCTGAGTAGACATATTCATTTGGCAGATGCCCTTTCTCTTGCATTGCCAACAAGATCTGCAGGCTGTCACCTGCTCTTCCTTGCTTAACGAATCCATTGATAATAGTTCCATAGGTTACATCAGTCGGGACATACTTATTTGACACCATTCTATCCAATAAACTAACAGCTTTCTCCAACTTACCTTTGAGGCACAAACCATGTATAAGTGTGTTATAAGTCACTTCATTGGGAACACACCCTTTAAGAAACATGTTATCCAAAAGCTTTGCGGCTCGAGCTAAGTCACCTTTCTTGCAAAGCCCATTAATCAACACATTAAATGTTACTGGAACAGGAAAACATCCCTCTATCTGCATTTCATCCAAAAGAATAACCGCCTCATCAATCCGGTCATCCTTGCACAAGCCATCCATCAAAGTGCAATACGTATAAACATCCGGCTCACATTTCCAAGAAGGCATTTCTCTGAACAACTCCAGAGCTCTATCGACCATCCGAAGCTTACACATAGTCTTAATAACTAAATTAAAAGAAAGCCCATTCGGCATAATATTACTATTATTTACAACACGAGCATAAAAATCTAATGCACGGCGATATAAACCTGCCTGAACTATCACATTAAGAACAGAATTAAACGACTTCACGGTTCGTTTACATTGAAACTCATCCACCATTCTATCAAACAATTCGACAGCTTTTTCAGGAAAACGGGCTTTTCCATAAGCTCTAAACACTAAGATAAAACTTTTCTCAATAAAGACTCTTTTTTCGCTCTTCATTCTATCAAAAACCATCTCCAAAGACCTGAAGTCCCCAGAATTAGCATATTTCTCAACAAGGGAATAGAATGTAGAATCACCCAATTTAAAAGAACCTAACTTTGGGGCCTCTTTGAATAACTTATCTGAAATTGGTACTTCCATCTCAGTTTCACAAGAACCCAACTTGGGTGTAGGTGCAACTTTAAATGAACTATCAAAAGGGGGCAAATTTATTTCAGTTTCACAAGAACCCAGCTTGGGTTTTGAGGAAACATTAAATGATTTATCAAAAGGGGGAATTTTTATGTCAGTTTCAGGAGAACCCAACTTGGGATTTGCGGCAACTTTAAAAGAACTATCAGAAGGGGCAGCTTCTATTTCATGGTCAGTATGAGAAGGGTTGGAAAGAGCTGAAAAGAAGTGGTAAATGGTGAAGTTAGAGAAAGACTTACATGGGATTAGGTTTGAGCTGATGAACTGTTTGGTAGTGAAAGTGTTAAAGGGCATGCCTTTTTTATAAGGATGCAAAAGGGCATGCCTTTGTCAACTCAGATTCTCATGAAGTGGAGAGAAAAAAGACTTCTGGAAATGATCATTTGGGGTTTAAATTCAAGAATCTTAGGCTAAGGTTCAAGAAAATGAAGGTCTCTGCACCTAGAGAAGCTGACGAGGAAGAAGAAAACACGAGAGGGGCAAGCGTGGGTAGGGCAGAAAACCGGGGTGGGGGT